ATTTCCGACCCGGACAATTTTAGGGGTCTACAAAGCTTTAGCCCTCTTTTGAAGAGTTTGGAAGGGCCCGTTCCAATTTAGGAACGGCCCGTTCCGATTTTGGAACAACCCGTTCCAGTCTTCTAAAATTAGCTTATTTGGGCTTTTGGGCCTTCTAAAGTCCTATCTTGTTATTTGCATGCTTCGGGATCTCTTTCTCTTCATAAAAAAGGTCCATTATCCTTGTTTGTATGCCCCCGGACGAAATGGGGTGTCTACAGGCCTTTTCTAGTGTAGAAGCATTGCCTTTTTCTGTATTTTTCATTTTCTGACTTGTTCTTATTTTTTCTTGTTCATTATGCAGATAATAAGTGCATGTTTTGCTAAGATGATTAAATTTTCATTTATTCATCCTTTAGATGATTCCCCCTTGATGTAGAAAATTTGTTCTTAAAGTACGTGATATGCGTATACAATGTGAATTCTCGGGTATATTTTGTTACCTGTTGTCTCTAGAAAATGACTTTTTACTTCTCCTTCACAAGTTATGATGGAACTAGGTAGGAAAGATGAATTGATGGTTCTTTCTAGCCTTGCTCCTCACAAGATCTTCGTCCTTGATTGTGATTCCATAAGAGGAGATGAAGAAGAATTCGGATTTGGATTGATCCAAACCAAAGAAGGAAGCACTCAAGCTTAGGTGAGCAAAGGATTGCTCACGGATTTCCTTAGAAAGTAAAGGAATTCCTAGAACTAAGCAAGGAGCTTTGGTGGGAGAGATTTTCTTGACGTGAATGTTCATAAATCTCATGAAGGTTTAAAGTTAATAAAAATGTGAAGGAAGAGACTTAAATAGGCAACCAACCAAGCCAAAGTGGCACCAAGTTCAAATTTGAACTTTGGTGAAAAGAATTTGAATTTTGAATTCAAATTCTTTGGGCTGCCATGTGCTGAATGTGAATCATGGCTAATTGAGCTTCATTTGGAGTGAAATTAAGATGCATTTGAGTGTGCACATGTGCAGCCACCATTGGCTAAAACATGTGACTCGAATTCAACTTAAATGCATGCTAAATGAAACCTAATTTAAGCTAGTTTTACCTTATTAAGTATTCCTCCAATATTCCTACTCTAATAGCCTAAATACAATGGCCAAACATATACAAATAATAGGAAATAATAAAAGAAATAAAATGAGCCCAATATTGGGTACCAAAAGCCCAAAGGCCCATAAAACCCAAAAATAGGCACAATAAGCCTATGGCTCAAAAAATGCTAATCTATGTGGTCCAAAATACAAGACAAAATATATGAAACCTATACTAATATAATATATATAAAATAGATGAAAATGAGTATCTTAGGGTATGGCCCATGTGATTAACAGCTTGGGCCTTCCAAGCCTACCGAGCCTATTGGGCTCTGACTTGCCCAAATCTTCATGTCTAGCCCATTCCTCTTGGATCCTTCAATGTGTCACCTCTTACCCTCCTAGGCATGATTCCATGAAGTTATGTGGATATATATATTTTCGGGCACCATGGTGCATTTTATATCATTTTTGCTTGTCAGGAGTTCACATGAGGTCATTTATTATTTATTTTTTTCCTTTATTTGGACTTGTTTGATTTTCACTTAATCATCAATAAAACATGTCATTTTAACAGGGTCAAGAGAAATGAAAAGAAAGGATATCTTTATTAAAATAAAAATCTTTAAAGAAATGGATTACAAAAAGGGATTTAGAGAGAATGAATGGCTGAGGTAGGTCGGCATTTGGGCTTAGACAAACATATTCCTCGGAAAACAAAAGTAATCATCCTCTTAGTTGTCTTGGATTGCACACTTTGAACTCTAGATGGGTTCTTCAGTGGATTTTGTTTTTTTATAGGGTACATAGATCACCTTTCAGTTTTCGTTCTGGTTATTCATCACTTTCCTTTTTATATCATCCTTGACTTTTGCTTAAGATGTATCCTAGTGGGATATTTTTTTAACCAAGACGCCCTATATGGGTTTTCATATTGGTTATTTTGGCAAGTATTCATGTGTAGTATTTCTTCATCGTGTCAGAGTTCACTAGATAAGTTAGTTCCTCCCCATCCATATTGGTGAAAATCAATGCTCTATTGGAGAAAGCTCGTTCGACTATGTATGCACCCTGATAATTCAGTGTCTATTTTCCTATCTTGTCCTTCTAAGTTGGTAAGTGTTTCTTGAGGACAAGATCGCCCTTTTGAAAGTGTCGAGGATGAACCTTTTTATCAAAAGCCTTCTTGATTATTTTCTGATAAGTTTGACCATGAAAAATTGTGTTCAACCTCTTTTATTTTATGAGATTCAACTTATTGAACCTACTTTATACCCATTCAAACTTGGGGAGTTTTGTCTCCATAAGCATCCTTAGAGAGGGGATTTTTGCTTTTATTGGTAAGACTGTTTCTATATCATATACCAAGGAGAAGGGTATTGCTCCAGTTGATGAATGGATAGATGTTCGATACCCATGTAAAGCGAAAGGCAACATCTCATGTCAGTCTTTATAAGTGACGACCATCTTTTGAATAATCTTTTTGATGTTATTATTGGCTGCTTTAACCACCCCATTCATTTTAGGTCTGTAAGGGGAGAAATTGTGATGTTGGATTTTGAAGGAGCCATAAAGATTAGTCATCATTTTGTTATTAAGATTGGACCCATTATACGTTATAATCTTATAAGAAATTTCATATCGACAGACTGTTTTTCCTGACAAAGTTGACTACCACCTTTCTAGTCACATGTGCACATGACGTTGCTTCAACCCATTTGGTGAAATAGTCAATGGCCATGAGGATAAACCTGTGTCCATTCAAGGCTTTAGGTTCGATAGGTCCAATGACGTCCATGCCCTACATTGAGAACGACCATGGTGATGTCATGACATTGAGTTCGTTGGGTGGGACTTGAATGTTGTCGGTGTATATTTGGCATTTTCGACATTTCCTCGCATATAGGATGCAATCCCTTTCCATGGTTGACGAAAAAATCCTACCCTCATGATTCTCCTGGCCATGGTGTATCCTGTCACATGGGTACCAAAAGTTCCCTCATGGATTTCCTTCATCAAGGATTGAGCTTCCTTGTGGTCAACACATCTTAACAAGATCGAATCAAAGCTTCTCTTATAAAGGACTTCCCCATGTGATGAGAATACGATAACTTTGCATCTGATTGTCTTCTTATCATTTTTGGATGCTCTGATCGGGTACTTTTCTCCTTTGATATACTATTGGATGTCAAAATACCATGGGTGACCATTATCTTCTTCATGTATTGTGAAGCAATGGGCTTTTATTTTATGACGCTGAATTCTAACAATCAACATTTTGCTTCCTTCTTTAATGGAAAACATGGAGGATAATGTGGCCAAAGCATCTGCCAATTGATTTCCTTCTCTTGAGGTATGTTCAAAGTTAATTGAGTTGAATTAGGGTATTAGGCTTTGGATGTACTGCTAGTATAGGATTAATTTAGAATCTCTGGTTTTGCATTCCTCCTTTAACTGGTGTATTACCAAAGTCAAGTCGCCACAAACTTTTAATCTCGTGATGTCGTTGTCGAGTTTGGCATGCAAGCCCAATATACAGGCTTCATATTTGCCCATGTTATTGGTGCAGTTGAAATCTAGTCTTGTCGTTACTGGGATGTGCTTCCTTTGAGACGACACTAGTATAGCTCCTATCCCATGTACCATCAAATTTGAGGCACCTTCAAAGAACATGGTCTTGGATTCCTCCTTGATTTTCCCTTCTTTTTCATTTCTCAGAGCTAACACTTTTTCATCAGGAAAGTCATCTTTTATTGCATGGTGTTTGTCGGTTGGTCCACTTGCTAGATAATCAGCCAAAGCGTTGGCCTTGATTGCCTTTTGTCTGACATAGGTGATTTTGTACTCTGATAATAGTACTTGCCATCTAGAAACCCTCCCAGTGAGTGTGGGCTTCTCGAATTGATACTTGATGGGGTCCATTCTCGATATCAACCAAGTGGTGTGCCTTAGCGTGTACTATCTTAATCGTTGGTTTCCTCATGTTGTTCTAACATACATCCCATGGAATCTTCTAATATTGTGAGGTATAGGATTAGAGGTCTCCCCTGATGGCATCCTTGCTAGCATTGATGGATTGGTTGATCAATGTGAGGACACCTTGACTCCTTGGATCAAGTTCTTCAAAAGTGGCACAAGCTTTTAGGGTGGATGATGATGGAATGGACGAAAATGGAGATTGGGTAGAAGGTGTTTGAGGAAATGCTTGAGAAGGGTACTCAAGGGTTGGCTTACTTCATGATGATGAAGTCCACTTCTAGGGTTATTTCTCTTAAGGTGGAGATGGGAGGGAGGTGGCCGAATTAGCCAAGGGTGACTAAGGAAAGATATAAAGGCACAAAAGGCTCTATTTATATTCAATATCCAAAGTATTTACAAGGTTTGGTGCCTTGGGTATTTATAGGAGTGGGAGTCATCTAGGGTTGCATTTAGGGTTGCTTTGGCCGAAATTCACAATGCCAAATGCACACCAAATGAAATCCAAATTAACCCTAGATGCAACTTGGTGGCCAAGGATGCAATCTTTGGGTTTAGTTAGGCTACATCTAGGTGCATGATAAAACCATGCAACATTTTCCCTCCACTTGGGCCTAAGCCTTTCTAAGTTCAAAAATAGGTCCAAAACCACCAAAAATGCGTTTAGCCCTCCTAATTAAATACCTTAGCCCAAAATTAAAATCCTATGATCTAAAGTACCCCATAATACAAGGGTAAAATGGGAAATACAAAAGAAAATAAATCTTATGACTAAGATACCCCAAAATACAAGGGTAAAATTGGAAATACAAGTAAAATAAATCCTATGTCTAAGATACCCAAAATACAAGGGTAAAAATGGGAAAATTAAAGACAAGGGTAAAATAGGAATGAAAATAAAGTCTATGCCAACAAAGCTTAGGAGAAAGATCAATGTTCTTTAGCATTTTTCTAGGGGTGTTAGCTCCCCTTCCATTCTCCTAGCCATGGTCCTAGTGATAGGTCACACTTGTGTTGAGCTTAGTGAGTTTTGATGATCACAACACAAGTGTACAACAACAACTTGGAAGCAAAGCACAGCAAAGCACAAAGACAAAATCAAAGAAGAGTCAAGAGAATGTTATGTAATAGAACTTAGAAATTAAAATGTTTTGAAATGAGTTTTTATATTGTGTGTGCTTAGTATGCTTTGTGCATAAGCAAATCTATATCTGAACTAGGTAAAGAGTATATGATGATGAGTTAAAACATTGAAAAGTTATTTTGAGACTTAAAATAAAGGTTTAAGTACTAACTCAAAATAATCGATTATTGTTAAATATAATCAATTATTTCAGCAAATAGGCTGAGTTGCATGCCTTGCTGTAATAATCGATTATTTGTCAAAATAATCGATTATCCCAGAAACAACTCTCTGGAATAATCAATTATCCAGCTAAATAATCGATTATATTGTTCTTGGTTGTTTTCCAGAAAATCTGAAGAAAAAAATAATCGATTATTCTTTAAAATAATCGATTATCTGTGTCTGAAACTTTTATTAATAGTTTGAACTTTGAGAAACTTCAGACATGAGTTAGAACTGATAATCAATTTGTGAAAAACGTTTTTGTGAGTCTTTGTGACATCTTGGAGAGTTTTCTTTGTGAAATCCAAGAGTGAAAACGTTTGTGAAAAGCTTTGTTAGAAGATCATCATCATCATATTCTTGAAAGGGGAAGATAAAGATTTGTTCAAGAATTCCAGGTGAATTCGTTCCTTTTATTCTTTGTGAATCTTTTTGTAAAATCTTGAGAAGGGTTTCTCAAGTGGTAAAGTTTCTTGTAGTGGGTTTCTACAAGGGGTGCTTTCTTGGGGTCAAGAAAGTGGTTATCTTTAGTGTTGAAGTATATGCATGTGTGTGTGCTTGTAAACCTTCTTGCTTAAAGATAGTGGAACAAATCTTAATCAGGTGTTGATTAAGGACTGGATGTAGGTCACATGTGGAGTGGCTGAACCAGTATAAAAGACTTGTGCAATCTTCTTCTCCCTTATCTTTTACATTGTGTAATTTCTTGGTTGAACTTTAAAGAAGATAAAACTTAATTAACAAGTGTATGTGAATCTTGACGGTTTAAATCTGAATTGGTGCATTATTGTTGAACCTCATTATGTTGTAATCAAGTGAGCATATTGCATTCATATTTTCATAACAAGTCTTTAGAAAAGCTTCATTTGAAAATTCAGTCTTAGAAAAGTTTAAAAGTGAAATAAAGATCCTAAATACTCTGATAATTTTTAAAGGGTCATAGAATCCAATTCACCCTTCCTCTTGGATTGTGCCATTCTTTTCTTGGTTTCCTCTTGAAGTTCCAAGGATGGTCCTCCATCATACCCTCCTTCTTGAGAAGGATTTGACCTCAAATCTTTAAGCTTATCCATTGCATTAGTCCCTTCAAAAGATGTGAGACCACAATTAGGGAAATAAACTAATAAAACTTAGCTATGCAATCCTTAAGTACACAATTTGTTGAATGAAAGTGTTAGGGGTATTGAAAAAGGCTTCATGATAAGAGAGCCAAAAACATCATAACATCTGCATTGTCAATTGATGAATTTTTTAGAATTTCACAATGCATATCTGCTAAAGAAATGTGGGATACTTTGCAAGTCACTCATGAAGGAACAAGTGATGTAAAGAGATCAAGAAAGCATACTCTCGTAAGAGAATATGAGCTGTTTAGAATGCAAAATGGTGAATCTATTTCTGATTTTCAAAAGAGATTTACACACTTGATAAATCACCTTGTTGACCTTGGCAGGAAATTTGAGAAGGAAGAGCTGAATTTAAAAGTGCTGTAATGCTTGGACAGATCATGGCAAGCAAAGGTGACAGCCATTGAAGAATCAAAGGATTTGACCTCCTTGACATTA